GTACAATTAAAATTGCACTCACCTTAGCCTTGTTTGATTTGATTCGATCCTAATCCTTTGATTATTCCAGAACTTGTTTAGACTCAATATCTACATAAATATAACATTTCAAAACAACTATCAGAAGCCTAAACCTTAAACTTGATGTTAACAACTTAAGCCAGATTAAAGAACCAAATTCCATTTTTCATTTAGGGGGAATCGATACCCCCTGAACATACTGGAAATTTTCGTCTAAGAGGGGGTATCGATACCCCTTCATAGGGTATCGGTTCCCTCTGCCCAGAAATTGTATTTTAAGCCCGAAAATCATCAATTCTTCACTTAATTCTTCTATTTTAAACCCCCTATCATATCATTAAACTCAACTACCATTACTTAAACTAATTTATATCCATTAAAACCATCTATAACCTCAACATACTATCCTTCATATATAATTCAAGAATCATACTCAAATTTCAATATGTTCTAAATACAATTCTAACACTTCATATTCCTTAATTAGCATGATGACAAGTCAAATTTAACTTCAAAATCAACTTATCAACTCTTTTCCATAATTTCATATAACAACCCATTTTCTTTAATCTCTTATAACTTCTTCATCTTTTGATTATAAGATAACCTAAGCTTTCCTTAAGCTTAGTTATCATCTAATGATCAAAACCCAACTTTTAATTCAACAATTAATCAACAAAATAAAAAAAACCCTTACCTTTGCCTAGCTTCCACGGTTGGGAGAAGAAGAAAGGAAGAAGAAAGAGTTTTCAGATAACTCTTTCCCCACCCCCACGTGATTCATTCATATAATTGGGGAAAAATATCTTTCATGCTAAATGACCATTTTGCCCTTTAATTCTTTGGATAATTACTATAAAATTTTAGGAAATATTTCCTAACAAATCATTAAACTATTCAAATATACTACTTCAATCACCAAACTCTGAAGTTTTACAATTTAGTCACTAACCCGTATTTTGGGATGTTACACATGAAATTACATACGATAATTTAAATAAATTAAACAACATGCAATGATCAAATTGAAACAATTATAATATATATATATTACATGTGTATGATGAATGTTATGATGCATGTATATATAATGTACATTATACTTATGCATCCATTATACTTATATATATATATATATATATATTAAACTTATGCATATAAGTATATATGTATGTATATATATATACACATACACATATATTTATATGTATAAGTTTAATAGATATGTATATTAATATATAGGCATAATATCAATTTATATGCATAAAATATATGTATATAAGTGTATATATATACTTATATACATAAGTTTAATATATACATATAAGAATATATAAGTATGTATAAGTACATACTTTTTATATATATACACACACTTAGATATATGTATACACTTATATATATATATACTTATGCATAAGTTTAATGTACATATAAGAATATATATATGTATGATGTATGTACATATCAAAATATAAGTGCATATATATAAGTATATATGTAATTATACATGATCAATGATGTATGTACATAAGTGTATATATATATACTCATATATAAAGTATAATTTAAGTTTTTAAAAAAATAAAAGTAAAAATAATAAAAATTATAATTATTAAAAATATATATATCTATCAAAATATTATAAATTATAATTAATAACATTTAAAATAATATAATTTGGGACTAAGTTAAATACATATGAAATTTTAATCCGAAATTTAAATAAATTATGAAATACGTAGGGATCAAATTAAAAGAATTGAAAATGTAAAGCTTAAATTAATATGAATTTGGAGTAAATTGCATGAATTTACAAACTTGGGAATAAGGTCACAATCCCCATTAAAGTTTCGGGAACACGCGGGAAGAGACCCGAATTTAATTTAATATTTAAAGGTCAATTTTTCTATTTTAAAAGAAAATCATTTTCTCTTTTTTATCATTTTTCTCTCTCTCTCTACAATTCGTTTCTTTCAAAATTATGTGTCTTCTCTCTATAATTTTTAGCCACAAACACCAAAAACCCAAAAAAATCAATTTTTTTGATAAAACACTCAATGTTCAACCGTGTTCATCTTTTGTTCATACCTAAAACCCTCGTTTGATCCTTACAAACACCAAAAAACTTGACTCAACATGTTTTTTAGATTGAAGCTCAAACTTATCTTTTTCTTCACATGTTCTTCTACTTTTTCCCTTTTTATTCTCAAAAACAAAAAAAAATCACTCACCTCACTTGTTTGTCTGGATCAAACCCAAAACTCAAACATGTTCCTCGTTTGTTCCTTTTCAAACCATATTTTACTTTATTTTTTAGAATTGTTTATTAATGATTTTATTTTTTATGTTAGTTTCATTAATATTTAGAATTGCATACTAATAATTTTATTTTTACTTTTGTAGGGTGTCTTTACAGTAAGTAAATACATTTGAATTGGTTTGTAAATGATTCTATCTTCATTTTTCCCTTTAAAGGTAATTTCAATTTTTATATTTATTATGTTATTTAATTAATAATTCAAATGTTTTATTAATGATTTTATTTTTTAGGGTACCTTACAACAAGCATATTTGAAATAGTTTATGCTTGATTTGCCAACTCAGGTTCAGGACAACACCAATTCGGACTCGAATCGATTTTGGATCACCACTACCTCGAGTCGCAAACAATTTTGACTCAAGTCGATTTCAGTCAATTTTACAGGCCGGGTTAACTTTTTACCTCCCTAAATCTAATAAATTCTCACAAGTTTACAAGGTCAAACAAACATTTTAGTCATTATTTCATGTAATATTTATATATTCTTCATTTAAGTATATCACACCAAATACATATCACCAAATTAGCAATTAGCATAACATATAACCTTAGAGACCATCAAATGTTTATGTATAGTCGATTTGGAATCAAATCATGTAATAGCAATAAATCATGCATGTATAGACGAAATGGTGTACCAACGAAGGTTGGCCTGAGTGGAAGGGGTTTTGGTCGCTTAAGCAAGAGGTCTCGAGTTCGAACCCTTGTGGATGCAGCAAACTTTCTTGGGAGAGGTCCCCACAATTGTGCCCGACAGTACCTCGGGGGATTAGTCTCTGACGAAAGCCGGAGATACCTTTGGGATATCAAAAAATAGACGAAATGTGTTATATGTCATCCGAATAGTACAAAATGTCATTTTAGTGAAACAATATACACAAAATGGTAAATCAACATATCAAAATTATATGTTTTCTTGACATGCAACACATGAACTTGCTTCAATAAGAAAAATATGACAAGTGAGTCATATTTCACATGCCTCATGCTTTACAGTTTATCTAATACATAATCATTTAACATAGTTAAGAACTAATCACAAACCCTAAACATTTCAAATATAGATAAACTTGTTTTAATAGACTTCGGAGCTATTTGCTCTATTGAAGATCTAGAGAATATCATGTCTGTTAATTATTTATTTGAGAAACATATTATCATTTCAATGTGATGTAATATTATTTATGTATTTTGACTGGTATAATATTATATCAATATTTGTTCTTTTCAATGTAAATATGAAAGAAGCATATGTTTTTAGTAAATTATTAAGATTATATCAATAAAACCTACCTATAATATTATTTATAAACTAAAACAAAATTTTAAAAATGCTAATGAATAGCCATAATAGAGACTTCAAACCTAAAATAATGAATTTGTAATACATCAACTTAAGTTATTCATATTATCTACAAACTTAATTTACCATACTTATAGAAATAAAATATTGTGCTTTATATTAAAAATTTATAAAATATAATTTTATGATAATGAAATTAACTTGATAAAATCCAAAGATAAAAAATGAAGAAAATTCATAAAATAAGTGTGTTTGTATAATTAATTTTAAAAAAAAAAGTTATTTCAAAAAAATTAATCAAATTGTAAAAAATATTTTACATTGACACGTCCAAAAAGTAAAAATATTTTTAAAAATTGTTTTTTTTAAATACTATTTATTTTCTAAAATTTATTTTCCAAAAAATATATTCAATAAAACAAACAAACCTTAAAAACAAATGGAAACACCAAAAGGCCACCGGTCATTTCATCCTACTCACTAATGCAAAATTAGTGAAACGTCCACATCGAAGAAGTCAAACAAAATAAAATAAAACAAATCGAGCCAAAATGACTTGGAGAATAAGAGCCCAAATGCTAGTAAGACCCCGTCTTATATTATTGGGTAAAATATACAAATGATCCCTGATTATAGGGTATTATTTGGCTGAGTCCCCATTCTATTAAAAGTTATAAAATGATCCTTCAGCTATAAAGTATTGTTTTGTAGAGTCCTCCGACTATTAAAAGTTATAAAATGGTCACTCGATTATTCATATGTTCCAAACTTATTATTTTCCGTTAAAAATTTGATGGTCGTTTGAGTTAGGCGTTAACATATTGGTTAGGATATGATAAAATCATATCTTAATGATGTTTGTTGGAATTGTCGTTGCATTTAAGTACTATCTTGATGATATAATATAAACGGAGATTCAATCCATAAAGTACAATTTAAACGATTTTGTGATCAGATTTTATTATATCTTAGTCAACAGGTTAACATACAGCTCAGACCACTATCAATTTTTAATGAAAAATGATGAGTTCAGAACAAATGAATAGTCGAGAGACTATAACTTTTAAAAATTGAGAGATTCAACAAAACAATATTTTATAATCGGGACCGTTTGTATATACATTTTTCGTATTGAAATGAGTTGAAAATCTCGTGTGAAAAATTAGAAAGCTAGAGGATTTAATGTGGATTCACATAAAAGAAGAAAGATTTTGACAGCTACATGTAAAGGAATCACGGATTGTCAGCCACTATTTTCCGCTGGACGAATAGAAATGAAAGCTCCGGAGTTTAACACTCCCTCCTGGAAATAATATAACCATTCTTCTGAAACACCCAGATACTGAAGCAGTCATGAATCCTGTTAAATGGCTTCTCAGAATACTCCTTGTTTTCCTTCTTTCTCACTACTCCTTTTCCGTTGACACAATAACGCAACATCACTTCATCAAAGATAACAACGATGAAGTCATAGTGTCTGGTGGCAAGATTTTTGCACTTGGATTTTTCAGCCCCGGAAGTTCCAGGAATCGATATGTTGGCATCTGGTATCACCAGATTCCGGGCAAGACAGTTGTTTGGGTGGCTAACAGAGACAATCCCATTAACGATACCTCGGGGATTCTCAGAATCGATGGTCGAGGAAATCTTGTCTTGTTCCAGGGAAACCAAACAGTACCTGTTTGGTCTACAAACATCTCCATCGCAGGCACTAGGAACATCATTGCTCAAATTTTGGATTCGGGAAATCTTGTTTTGATTCGGAATGATTCCAGAAAGACGGTCCTGTGGCAGTGTTTTGGTTATCCTACAGATACTTGGCTTTCATTTATGAAAATTGGGTTCAATTTGAGAACCGGTCTGAACCAATCATACACGTCTTGGAAGTCTCCGGATGATCCAGGGGTTGGAAACTATTCCTTCAGGATGAACCCGGGCGTGTCTCCTCAAATGGTTTTCTACAAGGGTTCGGTTCCTCTGTGGCGAAGCGGGACATGGACGGGTCAAAGATGGAGTGGTATACCTCAAATGACAAATAACTTCATATTTAATGATTCCTTTGTCAACACTGATGATGAAGTATCGTTCTCCTCCGATGCAAAGAATGCCTCCATCATAACAAGATGGGTAGCGAATGAAACCGGAGTTACACAAAGAGTAATCTGGAACAATAATGCTCAACATTGGATTTATTTAACTATTCCGAAGGAACAGTGTGATTTTTACGGGCATTGTGGGCCAAATGGTTACTGTAATCCTTATGTAGGCGATTTCGAGTGCACATGTTTCCCAGGATTCGAACCCAAATCGAAAGAAGCATGGATTGTAAGAGATAGGACAGGAGGATGTGTGAGGAAGCGTGGTGTCTCCATGTGTGGAAATGGAGAAGGGTTCGTCAGGTTTCCACATGCGAAGGTGCCAGATACTGCGGCAGATGCACTTGTAGACATGAGTATAGGATTGAAGCAATGCGAGGAAAAGTGTCCGAGAAATTTTTCATGCATAGCTTATGCTAGTGCAAACTCTGAAACCAACGGAGGGGTTGGCTGCTTGACATGGCAAGGAGATTTGATGGATGCCAGGGCATACACCGAGACGGGACAAGATCTATACATACGAGTCGATAAAAACGATTTAGGTATGTTTCATATATGCACTAACAACGAATAATTAAAAACAGATATATAAATACTAATCATATCTCCATCTTGATAGCTCTGTATACAAAGAAAGGTCTAATCCAAAAGAAGAGAGTGCTTGCGGCTATTGCAGTTTCTTCTGCTATAGTGTTTCTCGTTCTTGTTGCCTTCATGTGTTGCTTGGTACTAAAGCAAAGAAGAGGTACGTACTGTTAGTTTTTGGCAAAAATTGGCCAAATCCCACATTGAAAATAAACAAAGGATGGAAAAATTCTTAGCCTATAAATAGAATATTTCCCTTTGGTTAAATGTATGTCAATCACCAAAATACAAGTGGTGTACTAGAAAGCTATTAGCTATACTAGTATAGAATTTAAAGGGAAATTCTCTTGGGGTGTACTTTAGCTTTTGGGCATGTGTGAGAGTTAAATATTTTGTAGTGTGGTTGTAATAATTTTCCACATAGTAAATATTTTTTTCTCTTGGTTGTCTTTTGACAACGCTTGTGGTTTTTCTCCATTTTGGAGCTTTCCACGTTAAATTATTGTGTTTTTTCTCTTTTTTATTTTTCAAGTATTTTTTAATGTTGTGATCTAAAGGGATTGTTGGATTACAAGGGGTCTATTTTCCCAACAATTGGTGTCGGAGCTTGGTAAAATATAAACTTTAAGGCGGTGTAGGAATTTCTTTAAAATTCTTAGTATGCTATGTGGTTGCGGCTTTGTCCGATCTTCTACATCATAAAATATTTTTTAGAAATTGTTGTGGTCCAGCTGGAGGTCCTTTAAATATATTATTGTGTTTATTGAGTGTGATATTGTGTAAGTAAGTGCAGCCAAGAAAGTTTTGTCACAAAGGCTATAATCGCCTAAGGAGGTTGGGACTTAAGCGGTACCATTTGTGTCCCCCCAATCTTTCCTGGAAACTTTCTTAGTGCATTTTGTAGACACAATTGTTCACTCATTATTCACGTGTGAGATCACTGTAGCATTGTTGAGCAAAAATGAGTTTCAGATTTGATATTGAGAAATTTGATGGGAGAATTAATTTTGGGTTGTGGCAAGTACAAGTCAAGGATATACTAATCCAGTCTGGATTGTATAAGGCCTTAAAGGGAAAGCCAGCTTCTTTGTTCGAAGGAAAGGAACCAGATAAACCTAGTGACAGCAGTGGAGACAAGGGAAAATCCAAGATGAGTGAAGAAGAATGGGAGGAGTTAGACATGAGAGCAGCAAGTCAGATTCGTCTCTGTCTAGCCAAAAATGTTCTTGCTAATGTTGCTAGATGGTCATCAACAAAGGAGCTTTGGGAAAATCTTGAGGAAATGTACAAAGCTAAAAGTCTTTCAAATAGGTTATATTTGAAGGAGAAATTTCACAAATTGCAAATGGAAGAAGGTACAAAAATTTCTGACCACCTTAGTGCACTCAATGGGATTGTTTCTGAAATGGAATCTATTGGAGTGGAGATTGATGATGAAGATAAAGCATTGAGACTTATTTGGTCTCTACCATCTTCCTATGAGCACATGCAAACCGTTTTAATGTACGGGAAAGAGAATGTGAATTTTTCAGAAGTGACAAGTAAGCTGATTTCGGAAGAAAGAAGGCTGAAAAATGGAGAGAACAAATCTTCTGAAAGTGAAGCATTGTCGGTTTGTGGAAATAGGAAGAAGTATAAAGGCTCCAAAAAGAAAATTATCTGCTGGGGATGTGGGCAACCTGGACATCTAAAGAAGGATTGCAAAAACGGTGGAGCTAATTCGGCCAATGGCTCCAAAAGTGATGCTACTAATGTAGTCGTCTTTGAAAATGAAGACGATGAATTTGCTTTTTAAAGAAAGATATATATCCTCATGGCATGATAGCTACCAATTGAGTTGCCATGGAAAATGATGTATGAAAAGGTAGCATGTCCACATTTACACATGGGCATTGGTTGACAGTTGATGCAAGGTGTGTGGTGGAATTGATGTCGATGGCTAATGAACTTTCTAGAAAGTCAACATTGGAAGTTGCATCATAACTTATTAGCAGTTTTTCGACATGAACTGGTCGAGATAAAAATTCTTGGAGTTAGTGAATTCCAAGTGTGTATACTCTTATGGTGGTGTATGACAATTCTTGTTTTTAGAATTGTGACTATCATAGCTGATGGTGTTAATGAGGTAGCTGTTGTTTTTATGGTGAAGAATTGTATGGAATTTTTGCCAAGGTGGAGATTTGTTAGTTTTTGGCAAAAATTGGCCAAATCCCACATTGGAAATTAACAAAGGATGGAAAAATTCTTAGCCTATAAATAGAACATTTCCCTTTGGTTAAATGTATGTCAATCACCAAAATACAAGTGGTGTACTAGAAAGCTATTAGCTATAGTAGAGAATTTAAAGGGAAATTCTCTTGGGGTGTACTTTAGTTTTTGGGCATGTGTGAGAGTTAAATATTTTGTAGTGTGGTTGTAATAATTTTCCACATAGTAAATATTTTTTTCTCTTGGTTGTCTTTTGACAACGCTTGTGGTTTTTTTCCATTTGGGAGTTTTCCACGTTAAATTATTGTGTTTTTTCTCTCTTTTATTTTTCAAGTATTTTTTAATGTTGTGATCTAAAGGGATTGTTGGATTACAAGGGGTCTATTTTCCCAACACGTACAAGTTTTCACCACTGTTTAATTAGCAATTAAATTGATTACATATCATGTAGAGATTAACAATTGTGTTCGACTGATAGAAGCAAGAACAAGGACAAACAAAAATATTCTTAGCTTTATCACAAGGTCATCCTTGTATTTGAGGATTCTTTGGAAGAGAAGGAGACTGATGAGACCAGAAGGAATGGAGATTTAGCATTCTTTGATTTGAGCACCATAGCCGCTGCCACCGATAATTTCTCCACTGATAACAAACTCGGACAAGGTGGCTTTGGCCTCGTTTACAAGGTAGCCTTCTTTTAACAAGTATTTATATGCATAGAATTCCTACTTGTCCATTCATTAAAGAAAAATTCTTTTTAATCGCAGGGCGTTCTGTTTAATGGAAAAGAAATAGCAGTGAAAAGACTATCAAAGCAATCAGGGCAGGGAGTACAAGAATTTAAAAATGAAATTCTGCTAATAGCAAAACTTCAGCACAGGAATCTTGTAAGGATGTTGGGATGTTGCATTGAGGGTGAAGAGAAGATGTTAATCTATGAATTCTTACCAAATAAAAGCTTAGACTCTATCATTTTCGGTATGTTTTCTTTTGAATTGTTGAATACTCATGCCAAATACAACCTTTATAAGTTATGGGATGATTAATCCTTTTGAAAACAGATACAGATGAATCAAAAAGTTCAGTCTTGGATTGGAAAAAGCGTTTCGAAATCATATGCGGTATTGCTCGAGGAATGTTGTATCTTCACGAAGATTCCAGGTTAAGAGTCATTCATAGAGATCTGAAAGCAAGCAATGTCTTATTGGATGCAACAATGAATCCCAAAATTTCAGATTTTGGGATGGCCAGAATATTTGGAGAAGATCAAACAGAAGCCGATACTAAACATATAGTTGGAACATAGTAAGCATTTCGTATACAAAATTTGTAGACGACTTCCACAAAAGATTTCGAACAAGTTCTAACCAATTCCTTTCTGTTGCATGTTTGTAGCGGTTACATGTCGCCAGAGTATGCAATGGAAGGACACTTCTCGGTTAAATCCGATGTTTACAGCTTTGGCGTCCTGCTGTTGGAGATCATCACTGGAAAAAAGATTAGCAGTCCTTTTCCTGATAGTCCGTCTTTGAATCTGGTGGGACATGTAAGTAAACCAAGTTTGCAAAACAATTCTATCAAATGTTGTGAATTAAGTACTTATCTTCCGTTGAAACAACATTGTTTCAGGTTTGGGAGCAGTGGAAAGAAGATAGAGCCATGGAAGTTGTTGACTCGACCTTAGGTGATTCATATTCTGCAGATGAAATCTTGAATTGCTTTCAAATTGGGCTGTTGTGCGTCCAAGAACATGCAACACAGAGACCAACGATGTCTACAGTGGTTTCTATGTTGAGTAACGAATCAACTCTCCCGTCGCCGGAACAACCTGCATTTATAGAGAAGAAAAGTCTTGAAGAAGCTAACTCTGTAAATGTTGTGTCGATCACTATGATTGAAGCTCGCTAGACATACAATATGTCCTTCGTAGCGAATATGGATATGGACTACATAAATAAGTTTAAGCTAATCATTCACAAATATGATTGAGTTTGTCTGAAATTTAAAATTTAATTAGAATGGAGCAAGTCTGTGTGATATTAATAATATTGCACATAAATCTGACCCAAACTTGACAAGATATGATCCAACCCACAACTTGGTTTAAAACTTGCGAATCATATGTTAAAGATCGTGACTCAGATTTTATTTAGCCCAGTCCAAATATCTACGACACGATTCGATTGGTGAAAATTTTACGTCTGTTCTTAAATTCAAAAATGGATGAGCCAATTCATGTTATTGTGTGAAGGGAATGATATATAAAAATCGTGGCTACAAAGTACAAAACGTTAGTGTAAAATAATAGAAGAGAGAGACAACACTAGTAAGACGGAGTCTTAGATTTCTCATATTGAAAATTTGTTTGCAAAATTAGAAATAAATGCTTGAGAGATTAACACCAATACCCCAGCAACGGACGTGCTGGGGGATCCACTTATTAATGGGACACTGAGAATCCAACTGTCCCCTCCCCGAATTAAATATATCCTTATTATGACACACCCCAATCCCCAATCATATAGTGAACCAGCCATGGTTCATGAGTTCTGTTAAATGGCTTATCATGATACTCTTTATTTTTATATTTTTTCACTTTTCTTTATTTCAGGTAACATTAATAGAAAATTATAACAAAAGGGCTTATTAAGTTTTCAAAAGAGAGACAAAGTAAGACCGAGTCTTAGATATCTTAACACCAAGTCCCCAGCAAACGACGCAATGGGGGATCCCCTTATTAATGGGACACTGATAACCCAATTGCTCCCCTCCTAATTATATATAAAGAAGAATAAGCCCCAAACCCGAATCATATACTGAATCAATCATGAATTCTTTTAAATGGCTTATCAGAATACTACTCATTTTCTTTCTTTCTCAATTCTCCTTCTCAGCTGATACAATAACCCAACATCACTACATCAAAGATAACAAGGATGAAGTCATAGTGTCTGGTGGCAAGATTTTTGCACTTGGATTTTTCAGCCCCGGAAGCTCCAGGAACCGATATGTTGGCATCTGGTATCATCAGATTCCAGGGAAGACAGTTGTTTGGGTGGCCAACAGAGACAATCCCATTAAAGATACCTCAGGGATTCTCAGAATCGATGGTCGAGGAAATCTTGTCTTGTTCCAGGGGAACCGAACACTCCCTGTTTGGTCTAGTAACATCTCCATCGCAAGCACTATGAACACCATAGCTCAAATTTTGGATTCGGGAAATCTTGTTTTGCTTCAGAATGATTCCAGAAAGACCGTACTGTGGCAGAGTTTTGGTTATCCTACAAATACTTGGCTTTCATTTATGAAAATTGGGTTCAGTTTGAGAACCGGTATGAACCAATCATACACGTCTTGGAGGTCTCCGGATGATCCAGGTGTTGGAAACTATTCCTTCAAGATGAACCCAGGCGTGTCTCCTCAAATGGTTTTGTACAAGGGTTCGGTTCCTCTGTGGCGAAGCGGCACATGGACCGGGAAAATATGGAGTGGTATACCTGAAATGACACAGAACTTCATATTTCGTGATTCTTTTGTCAACACTGATGATGAATTATCGTTCTCGTGCGACACGAAAAATGCCTCCATCCTGACAAGATGGACAACGAATGAAACCGGAGTTACACAAAGAATAATCTGGGACAATAATGCTCGACATTGGATTACTATTTATTCGACTCCAAAGGAACAGTGTGATTTTTACGGGCACTGTGGGCCAAATGGTTACTGTAACCCTTATCTAGGTGATTTCGAGTGCACATGTTTCCCTGGATTCGAACCGAAATCACCAGAAGAATGGTTTATAAGAGATGGGGAAGGAGGGTGCGTGAGGAAGCTCGGTATCTCCATGTGTGGAAATGGAGAAGGGTTCGTCAAGTTTCCACATGTGAAGGTTCCAGATACTGCGGCAGATGCACTTGTAGACATGAGTATAGGATTGAAGCAATGCAAGGAAAAGTGCTTGAGAAATTGCTCGTGCATGGCCTATGCTAGTGCAAACTCAGAGACCAACGGAGGGGTTGGCTGCTTGACATGGCATGGAGATTTGATGGATGCCAGGGCATATACCGAGACGGGACAAGATTTATACATACGAGTGGATAAAAACGAGTTAGGTAGGTATCATATATGCAAGTTGCAGCTATAAATATACTTTCATGAAAAAAGAAAGATGGACTTGACTTGGTCTTTTACTAACTCTTTAAACTAACTATGTATCTACATTTTGATAGCACGGTATACAAAGAAAGGTCTGCTTCAAAAGAAGGGAGTGCTTGCAGTTGCCATAGGTTCCTCTGCTTTAGTGTTTCTCATTCTTGTCGCCTTCTTGCGTTGCTTGGTACGAAGGCAAAGAAACGGTACGTACAGCAACACACAATAATGAACTTACTCACGTTTCAATCATTGGAAAATAAGATATCTGAAACTAAATTGACTTAACAGTGATCTTGTGTATGAGTACTGACAGCAGAAAGAACGAGAAAACGCAAAAACATATTTAGCTTTACCACATTCGAAGACTCTTTAGGTGAAAACGAGATTGACGAGAGCACACGAAATGGTGAATTTCCGTACTTTGAGTTGAGCACCGTAGCTGCTGCCACTAATGATTTCTCTTCGGATAATAAACTTGGACATGGTGGCTTTGGCCCTGTTTACAAGGTTACTTTTCACTTAACAACTATTTATACGCATAGAACTCCTACTAGTCCATTCAATAAAGGAGATTTTCTTTGTATTTGCAGGGCGTACTCTTCAATGGAGAAGAAATAGCAGTGAAAAGACTATTGAATTCCTCAGGTCAGGGACTGCAAGAGTTTAAGAATGAAATACTTCTGACTGCAAAACTTCAGCACAGGAATCTTGTAAGAATGTTGGGATGTTGCATTGAAGGTGAAGAGAAGATGTTAATCTATGAGTTCTTACCAAATAAAAGCCTAGACTCTATCATTTTCGGTATGTATTCGATTGAATTGTTGAACAGTTATGCCAAATACAACATTTTAAAAACTGATTTTGGATACAGACGAATCAAAAAGATCAATGTTGGATTGGAAAAAGCGTTTCGAAATCATATGTGGTATTGCTAGAGGAATGTTGTATCTTCACCAAGATTCCAGGTTAAGAATCATCCATAGAGACCTGAAAGCGAGCAATGTCTTGTTGGATGCAACAATGAATCCCAAAATATCAGATTTTGGGATGGGCAGAATATTTGGAGAAGATCAAACAGAAGGCGATACTAAACGTGTAGTTGGAACATAGTAAGCATTTCATATACTGCGGTAAAAGGTTTCGAACAAGTTCTAACCAATTCCTTTCTGTTGTGTGTTTGTAGCGGTTACATGTCCCCAGAGTATGCAATGCAAGGACACTTCTCGATTAAATCCGATGTTTACAGCTTCGGCGTGCTCCTGTTGGAGATCATCACTGGAAAAAAGATTAGCAGTCCTTTTCCTGATAGTCCGTGTTTGAATCTTGTGGGACATGTAAGTAAACCAAGTTTGCAGAACAATTCTATCAAGTGTTATCAATTAAATCAAAATCTTCCATTGAAATAACATTGTTTCAGGTTTGGGAGCTGTGGAGAGAAGACAGAGCCATGGAGGTTGTTGACTCGACTTTAGGTGATTCATACTCTGCTGATGAAATCTTGAATTGCATTCAAATTGGGCTGTTGTGCGTACAAGAACACGCAACACAGAGACCCACGATGTCTACAGTGGTTTCTATGTTGAGTAACGAAGCAACTCTGCCGTCGCCGGAACAACCTGCATTTATCGAGAAGAAAAGTCATAACGGCGACGGGTTATCGACTAGTGAAGAAGCTAACTCCGAAAATATTGTGTCGATCACTATGATCCAAGCTCGCTAGTAATAATATATTTAGACTTGTAACGGTCTAAATACGTTTAAGTTAGTTATATGGGAAGATGGATTAAATAAGTTTCAGTTAATTATTTATAAATATGAGTTTATCCTTTTCTTGTGATTAATGAAAATGTTAATATAATTCATTATTTTATAATTTTAAATCATTATTTTATGTAATTTACGTAAATATTTTTTTATTGTTTTTGTATCAATTGTTAATTACAATAATAGTTTTATTTTAAAAATATTATCATAAACACAAAATTTATCTACACCCAAATTCATTTCTTTCTTCACCCAACCAAAGACTCAAATCACTACGTAATTTTCAAAACGCGTAGCGTTAAAAGTAACTCTTAATTTTAATTTTAATTCTTTTCTTAAGTATTTTAATCTCAAACGTTTTAAATCTTTAATAAAATGAATTATGTTACATAAAAGTCGTTAGTTAACTAACTATCAACACATATTAATATAATGTTTTTATATGTGTTAAATTGATTATATGACATGTGTCACACGATAGGTGATGACATATATTGTATCATTCAAAGTGACAGGGTAACATATGTTATACCACTCTAAGTGATGATTTTGTATATGTCATGTCAACAATTAAGCTCGTATGAAAAAGTAACATCAACAACATGTGTTGATCGTTAGCGAAATAATAATTTCCATCCAATATGAATCATTTTAACAAAAACTTAAAATATTGTGATTCAAATATTTTAAAAATGGTAAATTAAACCAATCATCATTAGATTTACTTTCTCTCCTATTTCACTCATTTTACTTTAAATCAGTTCAATTTTCTCGGTGAATTTAATACCATTAGCATTTTTGATCACTCAGCCGTTAAATATAACGACGTTAAAATGACGCCATTTTAGAAAAACAAATTGTTTTGCATCTATATAACAATTCATTTATAACGTCATTTAGTGAGAAAACGACTGAGTTGCCAAAAATGCTAATTGTGTAAAATTCAGTGAGAAAATTAAACGGATTTAAAGTGATCATTTAAACAAATATTGGGAGTTAATTTTGACATTATACATTTTCAAAACTGAAAACTCATATTAAAACTAATGAAACCCAAAACTAGACAAAACATTTAGGCTCGGACTCTAACCCCGATCAAACCCTACCTAAATAGTAAGGGTGAGCGTCCGGCCGAGTCAAGTTGAATCGAGTAAAAATTGAGTTATTTGAGTTTACAGGTCTTTTTTTACAACTCAAAAATTATTTAATTTTTTAGTCAAGTTTATAAAATTCGAATCAAGTCTAGTTATTTGAGATTTTGTTTGAATTTAATTGTAAATATTAAATATATTATGATACTATTTGATTCTAATTTAAATGGTTTTCTATAACCATATACAATATATTTATATTTTTTCATATTTTTTCGTATGTGATATACATATATCATATAGAGTAGAGGGACTCGACTCAAACTTGAAAATCAATCGACTAATTATTAGAAATTTTGAGTTATTTGATATATTATTCAAGTTATTCGAGTTCTATTTTATAACTCAATTTGAATTTAAATTTTTATTAAGTAAATTACAAGTCAAAGTCAATTCAAATCAAATCAAATCAATCAACTCTATTTTATAACCATGCTCTCAGTTGTTCTCACTTATTTCCTTAAATCCTTGAAATTTCGGTGGATTAGAATCCCTAAAAATTCGATCACCATCTCCTATAAGGCTTAATACTAAAATAAGTGTCTAAACTATACTTTTTTTTCACGAATATATGCCTAAAGTAATTTTTTTAACTCATCCTGATGCCTAACGTTACAAACGTTACCACTTTAGGTGTCTGAGCCGTCAACGATTTTAATTTCCCGTGTTAAATAACACGTGTTACAATTTGGTAATTTTAAAAAAATTATTTAAAATTAAAAAATTAAAATTATATGTTTAATTTTTTTTTGAAATAACCCTAAAATCGTGACCAAAACCCGGTCATCGTCCTTTGCCATCGACGAAGCTCCACCCGACCTCAAACTTCGATGACCAAAACCCTATGAAATCGTGACTGATCGACAATCGATCGACGATGAATCAACATTTTATACCCTGTAAAGCCTAGGATGAAAATTGTGATCTCACACGACTCCAACAGCCAATCGACGACAACTATGGCTTCATATGACTATGAAGATGGCAAGGACTACATCGGTGGCGGTGGTCGTGGCCGGAAAGGGTGGCGGTAGGGGTTAAGGTTAGGATTTTGAGATTTTGGGGCTTTCTTATAATTTAAGAGAAATTAGTTTTTTTAAATATAATACTAATATTTTTTTTTATAAAAATAAATTTCAAAACTACCATATTGGACATGTCTCACTTAATTAGGGAAATTAATTGACGGCCTAGGCACATAAAATGACAACGTTTGTAACGTTAGGCACCTTGATGAGTCAAAAAAATACTTTAGGTATCTATTTGTGAAAAACGATATGATTTGGACGCTTATTTTAGTATTAAGTCCTCCCATAACAATTGGATTTTTCTTTAAGGTAAAGTACAAATTTGGTAACTGAACTTTACTATCTCTCCAATTTCATTCATTGTATTTTAAATCTTTTTAATTTCCTCATTAATCTTAATATATGGAGTTTTTTTTGTCTCTGTCGTTTCCTCACTAATGGTGTTTTGACGTGGCTTATTTTATTTTATTTTATGGGTACATTATAAATTTAATCGTTAACCCTTATTTCACTCATTATACTTTTAATTATTTTCAATTTAATAACTGAACTTTATGCATTAGATTTTTTTGTCACTCCTCTATTAACAACAAAAAAGTCGCCGTTAGTAAGGAAACGGCTGAATGACTAAAAAACTCAATGTATTAATGTTCAATAAGGAAATTAAAAAAAATTAAAATACATTAAGTGAAATACAAGAGAATAAAGTTAAGTTATCAAATTTATAATCTACCATTTTCTTTATTCTTCAGTTTTGACAACTTTGATTGCAAATAATGCCAGCCTCGGCTCCGACTCCCTCAATCTTTGTCGATCTTGACCCCTTGGATAACTGTCTGAATTGTACCTTTGTTTTTTAGGACAGCAAACAAAGGTTATTTGTGTTAACTCTTTTGGGCCTAAAGCCTTTTTCATATTCCACACTCATGACATGTTCATTTGTTGCAGGTAGCTGTCCATCAGACAAGACTTTAAAGCCTAAAACGTGTTTGCATCATATATACGTATATCCCTCGTTCATGGACACACCACTGAAACACACACATATATATATATACATGATATGCTAACCAAACCTATAGGGTTTAAAAAAGCACTATATTGATAATGGGATGAGATGATGACATAAACCTAATTAGTTATTATGCATCAGTTAAAAATAAAGGTGTTCAATTGAGTCCAGAAGGATTCGAATTGAAATTATATGTAAGATTAATATATTTTATATTTATTTAAGTTTGAATCGAGTTTTAAAATATGGGTTTGGACTCTCCCAAAAATGGGGTTCCATAATTAACTTTTCCTGTACATTACATTCCAAAACAAAATGCAACTTTATTCACATTATACAATTTGGAAACGTGGCCTAATTATCTCATTCTCGTCGAACATGTTTTCATCAAAAGAAGTGCAACAAAACAAGTGCAAAACGCAATCATAAAGCTCACTAAAAGAGAAAAGAAGAAAGAGTGCATGCAAAGAAGAGCATCGCACAAGATTAATCATAGTTATGGTGTTGCAATAATGGCTATTAGGAGTATAATACAAATGCGTAAATGGGATGAAATTTGATGGCGCGAGTGAGTTTGGCATTAACTCGCTTCAAGACGAACGCCATTCATACTGTTTTAGATCTATTTAGAGACAATGAGATAACAAGTGGGTTAATCAAAACGAATCTATCGAGAGTTATCAATAATAAAAAAATGATATTCATTTTAGAAGTTTTATATTTAAACAATTACGTCTATATGATCAATGTACGTTATCAATAACTAAAAAAATCCGTACTAATAAAAACACTTTCAAACCAAAACACACAAGCCATGTGAAAACATCCTATTAAAATAATAAGTTTAATTAGCTTGGCAATTCTTAAATAAATAATATATATATATACTGTATAAAAGGAGGCTATGACCGTTAAAAAGGGTCCCCATTTCTAAACTGCATTATTTAAAGATATGAAATTAGTTCACTTTCAAACTAAAATCACCTCTTTTCATCACATAAATCATTTAATTTCAGACCATAAATATTTCCATTAGCTGGAAATTGAGATATTGATTATGAATAAAATTAGGGTAAATTAGAATGTTGGTCATTGCACTTTTAAAATGTATTCACTTTGGTCATCAAGTTTTTAAAACTTTTATTATGTCACTTAAATTTACTTTTATTTCCACTTTGATCACTACTGTTAACTACGGTTGACGACGTGACATGCTCACATGTCCTTTTTTTAATAAAATAATATGCTATAGTAAGATAACAATGTTATTATCTTATTGAAAGATATTAATTTATTAAAGAAAATGACATGTGAGTATGACTCAGTCGTTAGTAGCATGTGGGCATACAACTTCAGTTGTTAACAACAATGATCAAATTGTAAACGAACTTAAAGTGACTCTCGTAAAACCTCTAAAAGTTAATTGCCCAAAGTGAATATACCTTAAAAGTTAAGTGATTTCCATTATCATTTATCACAAAATTTTACCGAATTTACTTTTGGATAAACTAGACTTTTAGTACATACACGGTTACTTTTGTTCCATTTTAGTACCTAAACTTTATTTTTTTCCAAAACCATAAATGTCGTTAAAAACTTAACGGTTATGTTGACGTATCACCATAAGATAACATATGTCATCATTGAAAATACAAAGAAAATGTCACGTAAATATTTCTATTAAGTTTTCAACGGTTGGTACCAAAATGAAACTTAAACTAAACGTTAGGTATAATTCAAGAAAAGATAAAGTTTGGGTACTAAAATAATAGTTTTGTAGTTTACCCTTTACTTTTTAAAAAATAATTTGATTTGA